GATGAGCAAGGGTCAAACTTGCTGACACAAAATTCACATTATAATAGGTTCTGCTTGATCAGCCCCATCATCTACAGACGGGAATCTTCTCAACAAACTGAGAAAAAGGCTTCATCAGCTGTCGAGGCATGAGCAGTTCAATTTGCTGAGATTACCGACGAAAGTATAGTCGGTATGAAGTAAATTTACCGACAAGAACTTCATCGGCACTAGCTCTTTCTGCTCACTCCAATGAAAAGCTGATGCAGTAGGTATTACCTAGAAATTTGCAAGTTACCGACGAGATTATTCTTGCAGAATATCACCATCACTGACGAGAAATTCATCGGTATATTAAAAGCTACTAACTCTCTGCCATTGCCCTGAAAAGCTACTGAGTGTTTATATTACCAAGAACTCTCCAACTTATCGACAAGATTTTTGTTGGAGAAGCTGAAAATTACCGACGAAGATCTAGTCGGCCTGTGAGCTCTTCTCACTCCCTTGAAAAATCTGTTGGAGTTGGCAGAGTGGATATTCAAAATTAATACCGACAAGAAACAGGTGTGTAATTTTTAAATTTACCAACGAAGTGTGTCTCTAAAATGAAAATAAGGTAAAATAATTTCAATATTACTGTTTTTGATGGTTCAAACATGATTTTTGTCGATAAGTGATTCATTTACCGACTAATGTTTACCACGTCGGTGATTTTTGATTGGTGATACTGAGTTTTCTTGTAGTGGAGACTGATTATAAGTGAGGGAGGACATACACATACCTCACAATTTTTTATTTAGAACACAGTTGTATACTTTAACGTTTGAGAATTCATTCAACTTTTTATTGTTTTTGGTTCTAATTAAGTAGAATTAAAAGTAAATTGATGAAATTGCAGTACTTGAAAACCCTTTGACTCAATTTAAACAAAATAAGGAAAAAAATGCAAGCACAACTGCAACAAAATTTAAAAGTGGAGGGATTGATTGGATTAAATTTGAAACATGAAGGACTGATTTGAAAGATTCAAAAATTTTGAACTAAATTGCTTGATTACATAAAGTTTTATGGGAAAATAAAATTAAATAAAAGGTAATTTTGACTTTCAAAATTTGATCATAATTAAGCAAATTAAACAAAATTTAAACTGATTAATCAAAATAATTAATTTAATTGAATAATTAATCATGAATTAATAAAAATTAATAAAAATAATTAGACTAGTCTAATCACGTTAATTAAAGCTGATTAAGATAATCAATTAATTTTAATTAAAATTAATCCAATCAATTAACCACAGTTTAAATTAATTATTTATTATGAATCAATTCATTGTGTATGTTTCACCTTCTTCATCCTCTTACCTCCCCACTTTCCATGGCATTTACACACCAGGTAATGGTGTAACTTCCACAACCTCCATGCAATTACAATGGTGATTAACACTTTATAATGCCATGCATTTAGATGGTGATAATGGGATTCCATGTAACCCCTCCATTACTAGGAGATTAATCCTTGTAACCTCCCACTTAGTGGGTGTTAATTCCTTGTAACTCCTATCCCTTATTAGCCCCTATATATAGGGCTTGTACTCTTACAATGTATGGAAATATATGAAGATGTATGGAGAAGAAAGGAATAGAAATATAATATATCTTTACATTACCTCACTTTGTCCTTCTAATTTTTCCTCTTCTTCTAATTAATTTTTTCTTTATTTTACAATATGTTATCAGCACGACTTGTTTTTATATGAATTATTATTCATGAATCCTATTTGAGGTGATGAACTAATTGAGGTAAATATATAAGTTAAGGTAAAGTTTTGAGGTAAGATTCTGAGACAATTTAATTTTTCAATTTCTTGTTTTCTAGTTTGAATATTCTATGGTGCTATAATTATTTTCTTGTTTATATGTTATTTTGCACTTGTCAAAAGACTTGAGTTCATTACCCTTGATAAATTGGGCTCCAACCGTGTCATGAACTCTTGATGTAAAAATTCATTTTCGTCTAATGGATCTTGAAAATTGAATTGTAAAAGGAAATAAAGTATCTCTTAAAGAAAGAAAATATTCTTGAAGAAAAGGGCATCCTTGAAGGATTGCGATGGAATAATATATTTCTTCATTATGAAGTCCTAAAGGACTAAAAGATGAATATTTGATGATGAATGATTCATTGGAATCATGGAACTATTTGGAAGAAAGATGTTCATCAAAGAAAATTGCAACTCTTCCAAAAAGCTAGTTATGAATGAATCCATTTAGTACTCAAGTATAAATAAGCAAATATTTTGAATTATTTTATGCAGAAGAAACATTATTATTGATGAACACATACTAAAGAAGATATACTCTTCTTTTCATGCCTCAAATATACTCAAAAAGTAACAATCTTGAGAGGTTTATTTTAACATATATACTCAAAGTAAATATACATCTTCTTGTTGCCAACAAAATTATTAATTGATAAAAAAATCATCGATCACAACCATTGGTTGGATTCCATTTCATAAAGAGAATGTGATATCATATTATATGAAGTTATTGTTATGATTATGATTGTGAAATGAGACTCTGCAAAAGTGAAAAGATTTGCAAAATAAGTTGGCAAAGAATTTGAGAATTCTTAGATATGACATGAATCAATATTGGTCACATATCTTTTATATATCCAAGTAATATATTTGTTTATCATATATCGTCAAGTATTTGCTTGATTTGTTTCAAGCTTTACCCAATGAGAAGGGAAAATGTGCAAAAACATATTTTGTGGAAAAGAATATGGATATGCACTTATAATATTTTTGATACACAATTTTATTTTAAACTTAAATATATTATATCCATTTTGAGAATATTGAGGAAATGTATCTCAAACATTTGAGAAATTAAATATATATCCCGATGTGGGGATTGTGAATAAACAGGAGAATTTTTTGAAATCAAGTCTCATCAATAAAAATTCATTTCTAATGAGAAGATGAGATGCACGAACACATTTATGAATGGATATGAATGTTATAATAACATTTCTCATATAAAGAATTTATATCCCCAATTTTGAGATTAATATTAATTTCATATAATATCTCTCAATATAGAGGTCATATATTGATGGAGAAATACTTGAAAAAAAGCCATCCTTATTATAGTGATGAAACTAAGGATGAAAAGTTGATATTGTGTAAAGTATCGTTATCACACAATGAATGTATAATAGTACCTTTGTGATAAGTAAAATGTGACATATATGCACTCATATTATACAAAATGTATAATAGTATAATAGAATTTGAAATTTTGTATCATTTTTCAATGTGTAAAAGGTTGTGTTATGATGAAATATCTTTTAAAAAATACTTTTCTTAGTTACACTTAACTTAAAATTAATATGATATTTCATATTACAAACTTGATTAAAAAATCCCAAGAGCTTGTACATCACTTGATTTTGAAAGCTCTTCAAAAGTTTGAATCTTACAGTTTTGAGAAACAAAATTTGTAAATATGTGACTAGTTATATCCTAATAGATCATATTAGAGTATACCGAACTTTAAATATGGAAGCTTGGCATTCAATGGGGAAAGTTCTATCATCCAACCAATATCTTCAATTTGGCAACAACGATTTATTTCGCCATTTCCAACCTTTCAATGATGATACCATGGCCACCAACATCGCTCGAAGCTTGAAGGGACGCTAACCTTGTCATCCACTCTCCTAGTTATGAAGACTGACGAACCCACCCCCCCATATGCTTTACGTGTTAAGTCAAAGATTGCCATGTTGTCAACTAACCCACCTTTGACGAAACACGCCCTAACATATAATAATTAAGATTTATCTCTCCATTCATAAGAAAAAAAAAAAAAAAAACCTTATCTTTCCATTTTTCCTTTACTTATAATTAAATAAAAAAAATTAAAATATTAACATTTACTTAAAATAAAAGTGAAACAACTACTAAATTATACTATACTACTTCATTTAAAAAGTTGAATAGCTAATCGAGGTTTGACTTAAACTTACGGACTAGGGGTGTTCACGATTCAAATAGATTGATTTTTTACTATTTCTCTACCCAATTTACTTTAATCAAATTAAAGAAATGTCAAAGATCAAACCAATCCAATCTAATTAATATATTACAACCAAATCAATCCAACTATTATTGAATTGGATTGGTTTGGATTGGATTGATTGGTTTCATTGCAAAGAAAAAAAAAAGAATATTTTTAGGAGTTTGATTATACCCATATTTCTTTCTTAAATTTCAACTATACAAAAACAAATGCAAAGTTGAATAAATTTATAATGGATGGAAATATCGTATGATACAATTTTAGAGTTTGGATGAATAAATGTTGTAAATATATTAATTGAGAAAAATCCTTTTTTTCTTAATTAGTTTTTTCATTATCAGTTTAAATTGGATAGTTATAAAGTAAAGTTACAAATCAAACTAATTTAATTGATTTTTAATTTGTTATCCAAATTAATCTAATTAAATAATAATTTTTATTAGTTTTTAATTAGATTGGTTTAAATTAAAATGAATTAATCAAACTGGTTCGGATTTAAACATCTCTATTACTTGATTGATTACTTATCCATAGAGGGTGGGCATGAACACCCTTGTTACTAATCACAGCTTACCGTTCTCGAACAAAGGCATTTTTCTAGGGGAGCTGATCTGAAAAGTTGGAAAAGTTAAATGGCTTACCACTGGATTTTCTCGGAAATGAACTACTGTTTGAAAAGGCAAAAGGTTATTGGTTAAATGTCAATTTTGTTTCTTTAATTTTAAAATTTTACATAATTTTCATCTTTTAATTTTTTTATACTTTTTTAATCTTTTAACTATGAAAAATATAATTTTTTAATCTTTTCATCAATTAATTCATTAAACTTATTTGAATATGCACATTTTTA